GGGTGACATTGCTCCATCAGAACCTACAGGGGCCTAGTTGGGGCCAGCGATCTTAATGTTGCTCAACTAGAGCAAGCAAAAACACCACCTGGAGAGTGTTAGAAACGGCGATTCTCAAAGCCCAGTCCCACAGCTCTGACTCAGGAGGTGTGGGAGGTCCAGGAGTTTGCACCCTAGCTGTGCTTCCCGGATGGAGGTGCCACCCCAGTGGCACTCCCCTTCTTAGCGCAGCACGCACCACCACGTCTCCCTTGGCCAGCACCCCCACACCTCCTGCAGCACCACCACAGCTCTCAGGGGCTTTGAGGAAGGGTGGCATGAGTCACAACCTTGTTCCAAACATTCCCATAGTGTGAGGAGCAAATGAGCATTTTAGCAACTCAAAGACCCCTTCCCCACTTCTCCCTCTGACCCATGAGGGAAAGCAAATAGCACTGGAGAACAAAAGATCACCCTTCATCTGTCCTGAGCCCCAGTTTCCTTAATAATAACTAAATTCATTAAGAACTTACCAGGCATTTTTTACTCACTGATCCTTTCCACAATCCTATGTGACAGATCATAATCCAAAGTTTAGATAATGTGACTAGAGTCATGGAACCAGCAACTCCAGGCGGGATCTGAACTGATGACTCAGCTTCACCAGCTCCTCAGCCCCCATCAAAGAACACCATTGTGGGAAGTGCAGGGCGAGGCTCTGACTGCTGCACCAAACCCTCCTGTGGGTTGGTCCCACTCAACCCACAGCTCCCTTTGAACATTCCCTCAGGTGTGCTCTGCTTGCTCACGGCACCCAGGCAGCTCTCTGGCCTGACCAACACGATCCCAACACACTCCAAGTGTGCCAAGCCTGCGGCCTCTGGTGCACACTCAATCCTCTGAGGCCAATGTATCGCCAACATTGCAACTTTCTCATGGAAGCCAGGAAGAGAGAGAGTCTGCTAGAAAAGAGGAATTACTATCTTAGGTAACCTAATCAGGAAAATGACCTTCCATTAACTTTGCCACATGCATTGATTAGAAGCAATTCATGGATCCTGCCTACCCTTAAGAGAAGGGATCACATAGGTGTAAATATCAGGAGATGCGAATCACTAGGGTTCATCTTGGAAGCTGCCTGCCAGTCATTTCCAACAGAGAACTCCAAGGACTCAGAGAGAGTTCTCAATTCAAATCTGGATTTCCCAAGTCATTATGAAATTGTATTTATTAAGGGAGGAAAATAGATAATATTTTAGTCAACAGTTTATTAGCTTGAGTTATAGCTTTCAAGTATTTAAAGATGTGATATGGGAGCCTCCATCCACCAATACTTTCATCTTGGCCCCATAAATGTTAGGGACAGGCCTATTCAATGCAAATGTCCTGGCTGTCACCTCACACAGGGAGGACCTTGTGGGCAGGAAGGACCTCATGGGCAGGGAAGACCTCGTGCCAGGGTCCTGTCTGCTGGTCTTTTGCCTCCAACACAGCCTAGCACAGTGGTCTCCATTATGTGGTCAGCAGTCAGCTGAGTTGTGTGACATCCACTGGCAGTGCCCAGTGCCCAGGGTAGTGCCCTCCCCACAAGGCCTCTCATGAGGCAGCTGGGCTGATGTTGAAGTCTCAGTGGTTGGGCTTCCTCTTGAGCAAAAAGAGAGGACCCCCACATGGCACAGGAAGGAAGCCAGAGAGCAAAGCCTGCCACAGCAGCTCGTCAAAGCTGACTTCTTCCAATAGAGCCATTAGACAAATTCTGCCTCTAGACAAAACCAGGATTCTTAGGTTTCTTCCTATTTTGTTTTATTGTGCAAAAAATAAATATGGTTTATATTTTTTAAAAGGAATTAAGAAATAAAAGCCAGAGTTCTATCACTGAAGAACGTGTGTGTGTGTGTGTGTGTGTGTGTGTGTGTGTGTAATTTCCTTCCTTAGAAAATGTTTACAATGCAGAGTTACATCTTTTTTTTTTTTACCATGTGCAGTTTGGGTGCTTGAAAAAAAATAAAACTAATCATACTGTCTATTCAATTATCTACTTACTTTTAAAGATGCAAAATGTTTCTCGAGATTAAAGAGAAAAAAATTTTTTTTTCTATAGTGTGGTTTGTTTTTGTGGTACTGCAGATTGAACCTGAGGGCACTATGTCCCCACCTTTTTTCTTTCTTTCTTTCTTTTTTTGAGACAGGGTCTCACTGAATTGTGGAGAATGGCATCAAACTTGCAATTCTTCTGCCTCAGCCTCCCTAAGTGTGAGGGCTACCATGCTGGGTGAAGAGACAGAATTTTAAAACAATTTTTTAAAAAAATAGATAATAGACTGACAAAGTCAGAAGAATTCACAAACTTTCCCTCCCATTTCACTACCAATTCACATTCCTGGCAGTTCTTTCTATGCCCTTCCAGAGATAATTTATGGGCCTACAAGCAAATCTATAAATATTTTCTTTTCCACTTTTTATATAGTGATGGCATACAATACTGTACTCAACACATCTTGAAGATAGTTCAATGTCTATATATGCAGGTGGTTCAGCCTCAACCTTCAATAACTTAAGAATCACCTGCATTGGGCTGGTGATGTAGTTCAATGGCAGAGAGCTTGCATAGCCTGCAGGAGGCCCTGGGTTCAATCCCCAGCACTGGAGGAAGAAAAGTTCCTAAGTAACTTTGAAAAATCCTGAATACTCAAGTCACATTAGTTAGTTAGATCTAACTAATCCAATCTAAGTTAGTTAGATCCAAATAATATAGAATCTCTAAGGGTGAGCCCCACACATCAGAGATTTTTTTTTAAAAAAAGCTTTTTCAGGTTCACCCAAAGTTACATACCACTGCTAAAAGAGATCTTTCTCAGAAAGGAAGTAGAAAGAGGAGGGATTGTAATAATTCCATCATTGCTTATAGTAGAAAATTAGGGTAACCAATTGTCTTGGTTCTCTGGGGATTAAGGGGTTTCCCAGGACTTTCAAGGCTGAAGATAGGAAAGTCCCAGGGAAATTGAGATGAGATATTCACCCCATAGAGAAAACTGTATGCTATGTCTAAAGAAATAGAGGATTAGTGTATTGCTATCAATATTTATTCCTTAATTAACCCTATAGAAAGAAAAGTCTTGGATGTAGCTCAGCAGTAGAGCATTTCTCTAGTATGTGTGAGGCCCTGGGTTCAATCCTCATTACCACAAAAAAGAAAGAGAGAGAGGAAGAGAGAGGGGAGGAAAGAAAAAAAGACTATAGAAAGAAATTCTGTACTTGCATGAAAAAATACACATTGTCTATAAAACAGTCCTCCAACCAATTCGATTCTGGCCCTGTTCATTGTTGGACTATTTTGCAACTCTTTGTAAATTGAAGGTAACTGATAGAAAGGTAGTATCTGTTAGAGTCTCCTTTGACTTCTTTTCCCCTTGCAGAAAAACAGTTTGCCTTCATTTGTATTCAAACCCTTTATTCCGGTCATATTTGTGTTCCTTTGTTGTTGTTGTTTTTCCTTTCAACCAGTTATAATTCCAGTCTGGTTTCCTTTCCAGTTTTATTTTGATTAAGGATCAAAATAAAATCTTTAACACACATTCATTCTTGTATCAGAGTCCTGTCTTTACAGTTTTGGGGAGTGGGGGATGTATATGAAGATATATCCGTGTTTGTGTATGTGTATGTGAGTGTGTGTGCGTGTGTGTGTGTGTGTGTGTGTGTGTGTGTGTATGCTGG